CTGTTTGTGATGTGGGGAGACTAATACTTCTTTCTCTCACAGGGAGGTTAAACATGTTAAAGATTCTGAGCTGCTCAGATATTAAGGCAGCTAGTACCTAAAGATAAACTAATTTGATAGTTAGATATCAGTTCAGGGGTTCACATCATAGCTACCCCTGGTACATTTGATAATAGAAGCAATTTAATTGCACATGGTCTTAATGCCAAAATTTCATTCAGTATGCAAAAACCTAAGTAAAGAGACTTTACATGGAACACCTACAGGTTGGGGGCGATTAATTCCTTTCCAGCCCAGCTACACAACTATTTTGCTCATTTACTGGTGACTCCGGTTTGTATTGCTGACCTCCTGGACTATAGATTCCTCTTCTACAAAACCTTGGAATGTTGTCTCTGTGCAAGTGGTGAACTCTCAGCCTGCCCCTCCATGCAGCTGCAGATTTGCCACATTTAGAGGCTGTTCCACTGCACTGACTGGTCATGGTTTGCCCTCCAGCTCATACAGAGTAAATGCAGCAACTCTGAGTATCTTCCAGCCCTATGTACCTGTGGGAAGATTGCCCCATAGAGTGACCTATCTGTCTATCCTGCTGTGCTAAATCCATACGTTTACTGGAGACTTTTCACTTTCACTTTTTATTTCAAAGTTTGGGGAAATTAATTGCCAAAAACTGAAGTAGAACAAAAGTTGCCTGGGTATTTTTTAAAAAAAAGCTAATGGGAAATGTTAATGTTATGCCTTCTACAGCACCGTTAACTTTTCCATATTGCATGCAAGCAATGCCTTTTATTTCTGGTTTTCTTGTTCAATATATTGCATAAGGTATTCAGTATATGAAATAAACTTAACTATTTTCTCCATACATAAGTGTTTTTTTCCCCCTCCAAACCATACTTTATTAGCCAAGGCATCCCAGAATAGATCTGTTATCTATTCCTTCTCTGTTGCTCCTGAATCATTCTTCCTAGGTCAAAGGGTAGTCTCTCTTGCTACTCTTTGGCTAACAGGGAAACGTGTTTGGCCTTTGTTTATATATGAATGACTAATAGGTACCAAGTAGTTTGTCAGGATATCCCTATGTGCTCCCTTCCAAAAGAAAACACACAGAAGGGAGAAATTAAACAAAGAGATCTTTTGAAAGTTCCTTCCTCAAATGTTGCATTGCATTTTCTGTTGTGGTGCAAAGCAGCAAGTGTGGCTTGTATTGATTCCACATTTTAGGCTATCAATTTATTGCCAGTGGGACATGATTATAAACTACTTTTGTTTCTAGAGTGACTCTAAATCATGCTTGCAGTCTCTTGTCCTTTTGAGCTTTCCCAGTAGAGCGTATGGGCCACTTTCAGCCAAATGGAGTTGCAAATCCTTACTCTAGCATTGAGTGTAGTCATATATAACTCCATCTGCATTACAGTATTTGTGTGGATATGTTATAGGCTCAGCATAGCTACACCATTTAAACCAAAGAAAATGGCAAGAACTAATTTAACTCTGATGATTAACATTCAATTGGCATGAAGGTGAACAGCATTCTATTGAAGGACCTTATTTTTTGAGGGGGCACTGTCATGCGTGAGAGGGACATTATGAGGAATTTTCTATTCTTGAGAGAGCTTCCGTTTTCAGATGAGAAGCTTTTAATAATATAGAGCCTGATCCAGCAGAGCCTTATGTGAGTAATCCTTACTCTGGGGAGTAAGCTTATTGGCTTGAATGAGCCTATTGGCTTTAGTAAGGATTACTAACATGAGTAAGACTTAGAGGGATAGGGCCTATAACAGACAAAAATTAAAAGAAATGTCTTTTCACACCCGTAAGACAGTAGGACCACTACATTAAAATTCAATTTCACCAGGAAAAAAAATCCTTCAGATCTAGTCCCTGGAATGTGACATTTCATGGGTGTAATAAGGTTACAAACAGATTATAAATTGAAACCCCATAAATCCTCATTGTACTGTACCAAAGCTTCTGCTTTGCATAATGCTCTTATGCCACAGCCTACAAGCTAAAAACTATTCATTTGTTCTCATAGTGGTGACCAAAGAGTCAAAAACACCATGCAAAATCCAAAGGTAATTATCAGAATGAAGGAACCGGAATACTGAAATCCACTAACTAATGAACATTTTATATAGCAGTTGCCTGCAAGATCATTAACTCTTACTTGTAGCATGTTTTTCGATGTTTGAGTCACACATCTACATGCATATATTGCTAAATAATAATTAAACACCCAATAAAATAGACAACTTATTTTTAATTCTGCCTCTCTCTATATATATCGGTGAGCTGCACACAGCTTGAGGTAAAACTCTGTCCGAGTGACAGAATCTGACCCAAAATGGTCAGGATGATGAAAGCCATTGGGTGATGAAAGCCACTGTTGTTCTGCAACAGTGTTGTGTTTTATTATGGGGTATTAGCACATTACATTCCCTTTATCCAGTTCATTTATCTTCTCTTCCTCCTCCATCAATGCCCATACCTGTCTTTACACCCCTCCCTGGCAACTTTCTTACCCCTTCCTCCAGGGTAGTTGGGAAGCTCATTCAAGAATAAAATATATGAAGCAGGTTGACTTTGTCAGCCAGTTTCTTCTAGGTCTTCCCTGAAGATGAGGGATTTTAATGAGGGCAAGAGACTTTGCAGATCAGCTTAGCAAGGACATTCAGTGCATTGAGATAAAGTGGAAGAAAGTGAAGATGACTGAAGGAAGAATGGAGAGGATGGGAAAGGGATGATATGGTAAAAGAGATGAGTAGATAAATAGGGAGGCACAGAGTTATGCAGTGTCCTGAAGGCAATCACACAAGATGCTTGATATTGTGGAGAGGGAGGGAGCCAGTAGAGGGGTTTTAAGAGGGGAATGACATAGTCAGATCACTAAGGATGAGGTTCTAGTGGCTACATTTTACATGGATTGGTGGGATGGGCTGAATTTTAGGGAGGCCAGTGAGAATTGGTTACATTAATGAGAATGGAAGTTGACAAGGGTCTGGGTAAGAATACAAGTTGTATGGATGTAGAAGAAAGAGCCAGATTTTATGACTGTAGCAAGTTTAGTGCCCTGCCTGACTGTGTATGTAAAATGATACTGCTATAGTTAAGAGAACTAAATTAACTACTGGTCCCTATTTAAATAAGACAGAATTCAATTTGTGCTACGTTCACCAGTTATTTTGTATCCCATGCAGCTCATACACCATTTTAATTTACAGGAAGATATGGTCAATAGTTATTTTAGTAGATTGACTTTTGTAAAGTCACCTCTTTTTTTGTTTGTTTGTTTAGTTGTTTGTTTCAGGGAATATGAATGCACGCAAACCTCTCTGTCCTGTTTTATTTTAGTTTCAAAATTATGATCATCTGTACTTTTTTGGTACAGATTCATGTAATATGATGGGCTACAGAGATAGGCATTTGAAACATGAATGTTTAAAGACTACATGTTGTACATTGTCCAGCACATCTGTTCTGTTCCGATGAGATGTGCATCAACATAACTTTTAAGAAATGGTAATAAAGCTTAGGAAATAAAAAAGAATAGTCATCTTTTATAGGAAACCCACATCTGCAATGGGGACACTGTATAATTGTTAAGATAAGTGATTTTATTTGGTTTTCTGGTTGTTTTCAGGACTTTAAAAAGATTAATATTATCTTTTGGTGCTCTAGTATGAACTACTGACTTTCTGTATGTCTGACTTTTCTATGAGCTACTTATGGAGCAGATACTGATTTCATCGCGTATACTAAGATCAAGTTTAAATTCTGGAAACAGTTCATATTATTACCTTAATAGAAAGAATTGCATTTTCTGAGATAGTAAGCCCCCTGGTGGTAAAGATGGAAATGACAATTTAGGAAGCCTGCAAAAACAATTGAAGAACTATAATGACAAAATTTATGAAGGGTGTGATTTTCAAAGAAAGTTCAGTGGAGTGAGGCAACCAAATTTCATTGAAATTCTTTCCTTTAAGCCTCTTTGAAAATCTCAGTCTAAGGTGTTTTTTTTCTAAAGCTGAGCAAAGAATTGGAACAATTAATATTTTTTTAAATTTGATTTTGTTTTGCAACATCTGGATCCTGATTCAGCATTCTGTCCGGCTTTTAATGAAAACTTAAGCATGTGAAATGTACTTGTGTTGCCTTACTGAGTGGGATAGCACAAGTTACCTTTTGGAAAGAGCAAACAGAACTAAATTCTGCCTTTAGACACGCCACACAGATCCCATTGACTACAATGACAGCTGTACAGTTGTTTTGGATGCTCATATTTAAGTCTTTAGCCTTTGAGAAAAGCTGTTTAATGAGGGAAGAACTGTATTACAAGAAGCAAAAGAAGTCTGCAGTGATGTGAACTCTACTTCGATTCAATTTTTTTTATCATTGCAGTGTATAATACTTTCCAAGTATACGTGAAATAAATACACCCATTTAAAAAAAAATTCAGGAAATATGGAGTGAATCAAAATTCAGTGAATCAGTTATATTGACTTTGTTATATGAAAAAAATTACCTTATTCAACAAAGACAACCCTCACTCACATAGTGCAGAATTTAAATCAGACTTCATTTGTGCAATTAATGATTACTTAATATGATTAAGGTAAATTGAGTCCTGAGTAAAATTTAAAAAAGCAAAACAAAAAGCCCTAAACCATGATCAACTTAATATGTTTGTATGCCTTGGATCTGATCCAAAGCCTGTTGATGTCAGTGGAAAAATTTGGGATTTGGATGAGGCCTTTAATTACTTACACTGTAAACTCTTTGGGGCAGGGACTGTCTTTTTGTTTTGTGAGTGTAAAGTGCTTAGCACAGTGGGATCCTGGTCTGTGACTGGTGTTCTTGGGTAGTATCATAATGTGAATATTTAATACATTAATAATAATGTATTAAGCCAGGGTCATAGAGAGTCATAGAACTTAAGCATAGAAAGAACCATCCAATCATCCATGAGTTAAACTGTAATATTGTTTGTACGTATATAGCATATAAACAATGACCACATACACGGAGAGAAGAAGGAGTTTGTGTGCCGATGGCTGGATTGTTCCCGGGAGCAGAAGCCGTTCAAAGCCCAGTATATGTTGGTGGTACACATGAGGAGACATACAGGGGAAAAGCCACACAAATGCACTGTGAGTAAACAATACTGAGTTCTAGGTTGTTACCAGTGTGGAGAGGATCAGATGGAGAGCATAATGGGACTGAGATTACGTCTACACTACACAGCATAGTCTCTACTACTTAACTTTTAGTGACATGCCTGTATCGACACAGCCCTGTCGCTAAAAGTTAGGCTGTGTAAATACTGTCAGCGCTTTTGCGGACAAAAACCTTCCAGCCCATATAATTGACATTTGCTTTATAGGCAGAAGAGCACTCCTGCAGACAAATCACTGTTTATACTAGTACTTGTAGCTGCAAAGTTTTGTCTTTGGGAGAGGGAGTGAGGGATGGTTAAGCACCTGTGAATGACAAAAGCTTTTTCCCTCAATTGCCAATGTAGACAAAGCCTTGTTCTCCACTGCCATGCCTTAGGGCATCTGTTTTAGACTGGTGTGGAATGTTTGCAAACAGCAGGATATCAGCCTGGTAACATGATCTATCCACTTTGTAGGGCTGCGAGTGACTACAGAAGGTTCCAGATAGGGCAGAATTAAGCCCAGTTTGTCCACTAAATGAGAGAATCTGATGAATCTCTAAAATAGTGTACGTTTAAACAGTACAAAGGCATTTGCATGTGTGTTTAAAATCACTTTAAGAGCATCTGGATCCTAGTGTTAACCCACAAATATTAGTGACTGTGTAATGGATTTTAGTGTTAAAACAAGCATGAACATATTGTTACCATACCATACTTATAATCGCTGTTTTACACGGTGCTAGAAGTACTTTATTGTGAATTATGACATATTTGAATGAAAGAAATCTTCCATCACATAGGATTTGGAAAGCTTCTAGCTTTCAGATGTCTGTTGTTTTTTTATTGGGTTAAATTTTCTCCAAGGCCAAGTGTATAGAATAATCCCAATGTGCATGTTGTCTCCAGTTTGAAGGTTGTACAAAGGCCTACTCCAGGCTAGAAAACTTGAAAACCCACTTGAGATCTCACACTGGAGAGAAACCATATGTGTGTGAGCATGAGGGCTGCAACAAAGCATTCTCTAATGCCTCCGATCGGGCCAAGCACCAAAACAGGACTCATTCCAATGAGGTAAGCAAGCACGCAAGCAGTGAAAGGGCCTTGGCTGCCCACAGACATAATGGTATCAAAAATGTATAGTGAAATGCAGACACAAATCATTTTAACAAAGGACCTGAAGAACCTCCTTGTTATTTTATCAAGAATCAAAGGAGAGGACAGGCTGGGTGATCTGAGAGTGACTTTGGGTGGTAACAAGTGAACGGGCTGTAATCCAGGAAGAATTTTCTCACTCCCTGAAGTTCCTGGGATACTCAGCTCCCAAGGAGAATTTTAAGTTTCCTGCTGCTGTTCTATGGTGACATCTGCTGGCTGGCTGGTAACAGCGTTAACTGTGACGAGAGGGGTTCTTTTGGAATCAGATTGCTGAGAGCCCTCAACTACCCACAAAACGAATGGGAGTAAAGGAGGATTCAGTATCTTGCTAGAGATGCAGCAGGATTGGGATTTAGCTTTTTCTGCTGCCTGCTGTTAATAAATGTGGAAGAATCTCAAGGGACTTGGCTTCTCCAAACTTCTGAATCCTTCTCCCTACACTTTTTACACATTTCACTCTCTCCTGTGGCTTCTCTTCTCTCCCAGCGCCTTCCATTTCATCACCTTTCTTTGGTGACTGTCTACCAGATCTGTCGCAGCAATTCAGAAGGGCTGGCATGCTTTCCACATGTCACAGTCTCTGTAGCATCAGAGGGTCACATGTGATCCAGAGAGCATTGCACAGCTCCATATTCAGGTTAAACCTGGATGCATGTGCTCTGCAAAACTGCTAGACTTGCTGAAACATGATGGTGGATTTTGTAAATTATTTAAAGCTAAATTACCTAAACCTGTCCAATGCCTGATATAAGCTTTGGGTTGGTTCATACTCTGTTGGAATCAGTTTGTCCATCCTTTGTGGCAAAGTGAGGCACAAACAAGGTGAATCTGGATGCTTTGCTCTGCTTTTTAAGCTCTAGATTTCACATTTAACAGTGAATCACTAAAGTTCGTTGTTATTGTTGATGGAACATCACTTTCTGCCATTGGTGACGATGCAACAACAAAAGTGAGCAAAACAAATACATCCCAGATGTTACCAGAAACACATTTCATAATCAAGTGTACTGATGCTGTAGAACCAGACTCTCAGCTGGTATAACTTTATATAGCTCCACTGAATTAACTGGATTTAAAGAAGAGCTGATAAATTTATGACCTTGAATAATATTTATAGTTACGCAGGATCAGAATGGTGGTGATCATCAAATTCCATGCTTAGGCATTTAAACGGTAGGAATGAATTCCCCCTGCAGTAATTGGTTCAGTGCATGATGGAAGGGTTTTGCTTTCCTCTGAACTTCAGGTATTAACTACTGGCCCTCCCAAGAGGCAGGATGCTCAATTAGATAAACCAGGTATTGGATTGAATATGGTAAATCCCATGGGATTGATATTCAGCTGGAATTCATTGTCATAGTTTTGTTGGCATCAGTGTAGCTATGATAATTTTCTCTAGCTGAGCATCTGCCTATGTTCCTACTTTGGTACGTATGTAGCAATAATGTGCGTTGTGCTCCCTTCAAAACCAAGGAAGAGGAATAGATTTTATTAGGTGTGGTCAATGCTGAGATAGTGTCACAATGTCATCACTTCATCAGTGCATTCGCTGTGGAAGGGTATCATGTTATGCATACTGTACTCAAAGGAATTCTTAGGAAACCGACAAGGAAATCCAATCTAACCTCAGCCTTTCTTCCCACCTGATCTGGCAGAAACCATATGTTTGCAAGATACCAGGTTGCACAAAGCGCTACACAGACCCCAGTTCTCTGCGGAAACACGTGAAGACTGTGCACGGCCCCGAGGCCCATGTCACCAAGAAGCAGCGTGGAGATATTCATCCAAGGCCTCCACCACCACGAGACCCAGGCAGCCATTCTCAGTCCAGATCACCAGGCCAGCAGACTCAGGGTGCAATTGGCGAGCAAAAGGACCTCAGCAGCACTACCTCAAAGCGTGAAGAATGCCTCCAAGTGAAAGCTGTCAAGTCAGAGAAACCAATGGTATGCAACATACTGTGCTGCTTTGTTTCTTCCTCTCTATTATCATTATGCATTAATTAACTCCACTGCGCTACTTATTTTTTACAAAATAATTTATATTTTCAGTGGTTTTAAAAACAGTAACACTTTTATTTACCTGATTTATGCTCAGGTAAATAGAACATCTTGAGACCCTCTAGGGCAGTGGTTCCCAAACTTTTTGGCATCACGCCCCCTTTTTGATTTTTAAAAAACCCTGCCTTCCCCCAAAAAAAAAAAAAAAAAAAAAAAAAAAAACTGATTGGGGCAGCAAAACTTTATGAGGGAGGAGGGGACTGGGTTGCCTCATCCCCCCCTGGAATTTCTTCACGCCCCCCAGTAGAACCCATTTTCTAGGGACTAACTCTGATGACCTACATCTGGCCTGCGGGCTACCACATATTGCCCAACCCTGTTGTATCTTAACCTTAGATACACATTTAGTTAAGATATTTGATAATGAATCAGATCCACATATGCTAGGGAACTGAGCCAAGGTTGAGTGTTCAAACGGAACTTTCACATTTCCTCAGTGTTTAACTCTGCCTCCCTGCCCCCCAATCTCCTTATTCCAAGCCTCACGCCAGAGCCTGAACCCCTGTCGGGACCCTCACCTTTCTCCCACACTCCAACTCTCCTGAACCCAGAACATTTTTGTCCCCATCTGAATTATAGGATTTCCAACTTTCCTATCCGGACAGACTGGATTCCATTTGCAGCAATAGCAACCCATTATCTGATCAGGAAAGCTGGAAATCCTAAAAGGCTAGAGGAAACCCTGAGTCACTGGGCCTCCTCTCCTCTGCAGAGCTGTGTGGGCCTGCAACTGACTGTCTGCAGACCAGTGGCTCCTGATAGGACAGAGGTTCCCCATCCTTGGTTTAATGTGACCGATGAGGAACACTAAGCATCCTCACTATTATGAGTATACTTATAAGTCTATATGTAAGAAGAAAAGAGTTTATAACATGATATAAAATCAGCCTCTTGTATACTAATAATCTCCTATCGATTGATACTCTACAAAATTCATTGTAAAAGCCAGTTGCCTACAGGTGTAATGTTATGGGCATACTTATACTGTCTCCATAGCTAAGGGTCTGTCTGGATTTTCCTTTAATGGGACCTTTGGAATATTATATGATTTTTAACTTTCCTTCCCTTCACAGATTACATGTTAGCATGCATCAGGACAGTATACACAGATAGAGTACTGTAGGCTAGTGAGGGGTAGATTCACCCCTGCAGCTTCCTGCCCAATAATTGTTCATATAGACAAGCTCTGTAGCTCTAGTTTTCAAACCAGACCTCCTGAGAGAACAACATGGCCCCATGGTTATCGCCCTCTCCCCCCACCACTGTTCCTGTTTTCCCCTCACAATTAATTATGTGTTGATGAAAAGCATGTTTACAAGTCAGGTATTTATTATTAGTTATTATTGTTGTTCACTACAATCACAGAAATGGATCAGGTGTGGTTGACAGATGTCAGCCCTCTAAGTTCAGGAGCTATTAAATATTGGTACCCATTTTTCACACACAAAATGATTGAATTGAAAGTTACCTTTTTCCCAAATTCAGAATTTTTAAAGATTTCTTTTTAATTTTCTATTTTTGAATTATATTGAAAAATGAAAAATTTAGCTTGTTTCCCTGCTTTTTAGTGTATTGCTTATCTGTTTTCCCTGCCCCTTTCCCTTCCGATGGAAAATAGAAAAACAAAAAGAAAAAAAGTGGGTGGAATTGGGGAAATAAGATCAAAATAGCGGGGAAGAGAACAAAAAAAAAGTGAAAATAAAAATTGCAATAAAAATTTCAAACAGAGAAAAAGGTGTGGGGGTTGGGATTTTTAAACCAGTGAAATTAAAATATTTTTAAATTTTCAGTTAATGTTTGTTAGGTGTTTTCATTTTTTACTAGATCTATTAAATAATGAAATATTTTCTCTAAGGCCCGGTCTACACTAGGGGATAAATTTGAATTAAGATACGCAATCTCAACTATGTTAACTGCGTAGCTTAAATCGAAGTATCTTAATTTGAATTTTGGCACCTTCCAAACTGCGGGAACTCGAAGGGAGCATATTCTCCTTTCTCTTTCCCTTACTCCTCATAGAAGCAGGACTAGTGGCATTGACTAGAGCACCCTCTGGCTGTGTCTACATTGGCATCCCTTTCCGGAAAAAGGATGCTAATGAGACACTTCGGAATTGCAAATCCGCGGGGGATATTTAAATCCCCCGCGGATTTGCAATTCCGAAGTGTCTCATTAGCATCCCTTTTGCGGAAAGGGATGCTAATGAGACACTTCGGAATTGCAAATCCGCGGGGGATATTTAAATCCCCCGCGGATTTGCAATTCCGAAGTGTCTCATTAGCATCCCTTTTCTGGAAAGGAGTGCCAATGTAGACACAGCCTCTCAGTTTAAATTAGCGTGTCGTCACAAGGGATGTTAAATGTCGGTTAATTGAATAGTCGATTAACCTCATGAATTCTTATCGTTTACTCGACTATTCTGTGGTCCCCGCAGCTGGGGCAGGCAGCCAGTGCACTCCAGCCTCACTCCCAAGGAGCCCCCTGCCACTCCACGCCCCCCCCTGCCACCCCCCACTGCTACCTCTGTATCAGAGGCAGCAGTGTGGGGTGTCAGGTGGGAGCTGGTCTGCGAGGGGAGACATTTTAAAAACCAGCTCCCCTCATGGACCAGCTTCCTGTTGCCCCACACTGCTGCCTCTGATACAGGGGCAGCAGAGCAGGGTGGCAGTAGCCCCTATTCATGGGGAAAAGGGAGCTGAGCTGGTTGCCTCCCCGCCTGGCTCCAAATACACTTTAAATGCAGAGCTGGAGCTGGGGTAGGTCCCAGAACCAGAGCAAGCCAGTACTGAGCTGGGCTGCTGACCAGCCTGCTAAAAAATTTACTGGTTGGGGCGGGGGCAGAGGGGGGAGGAAATGCTTATACTCTATAGTATTAACCTATAAGCTTTTGCTTATCAGTTAATTGACTATACTATTACAGCCCTAGTCTTCACTAGATCCGCTAATTTGAATCCTGGAAGATTGACTGTGACTGCTTCAATCTTATCTGTAGTGTAGACATATCCTAAGTAACTCTCTCTAGTGCACTCTTCTCTCAAGAGGGATAGAATTAGATAAAGAAGTTAACACATTCTCTGGCTTCACAATATCTTCACACCCATCCATTATGGAATAAAAAGTCAGATCCTTCAGTCTATACTCTCGTAATCCTCACTCTGTTTAGTAGCTTCAAAACCCCTCAGATAGGAGTTACTCCATAACTAAGAATTACCACTTCAAACTCAAATTAGGTCATATTAAAAACAACACGTAGTCTGTGTAACTCACACTGTAATCAAAAGGAAGACTTCTGTGAAAGTTAGTGGGTGTTACATTAGACTCTGTGGGTCCAAACCATTCTTGCCACCCTTATGTAGGTGAGTAGTCCATTACTTTTAGTGAAGTAAGAGGTACTAAAGTGAATAAAGCTTTGCAAACTTGGGCCCTAAAACAAGAGGTTTTTTATGAACGGCATTGAATATTTCTCACTGTAAATCAGCTCTAAAATAGTTGATTATAAGTTGTCCTTCTTTTCTTGGTTTTCATTGTTATATGAGTTAAGACATGTCCCTTGTTTTTCTACTAATCCAATGTTTTTTCTATCTAATGCTCTTAAATGTCTTGTTCTAACTTCCTAAGGACAGTGGGTAATAAGGTGAGGGGATTTAAACTTCTCCAATTTTTTTTTATTGCAACATTATTGTCATTTTTAGTCTTTTGCCTCTTGTCAAATCATTATGGTCTTTTATTTCGTAAGAAGCATTCCATCAGAAACATTCCCAAATATAGCGTGTAATGGACATTTTGCAACACTTGGAATGTGAAAAAGCTAGATCACTTTGGTGAAATACTTTCACATACATTTGTCTATAGTTACATATTATTTTTATGTATATACACATCTATAGATATATATTTCCATGATCATTTTCTGTACTTCTGGCTCATTTTGACCCACTTGTGTGGCTACAAGAACAGACTTCTGACCATTAATGTTCTTTAACTCTTGTACAATTGGTACAAACTCATGGCTTCCAGATAACATTTAGTGCCCTCACAAAATGGACAATGACCAACGTTTGGAAGTGTACCACATTCCATGTGGACCAAATTATAAGCATTATCATTGACATTAGAAATAATTAAAATTATTATTACACATGTTCATGATGATCATGGCTGGCCTATATCTTTATTGACTTTGTTGCTACAATTCAAAGCAAATACAAAATTCTAGTAAGCAGTACTAAACAAAAGATCACATGCTGACTGAAAATGCAAAAGCCTAAATGTAAAACAATAACATAGATACCTATTTATGAGACTGTTCTTGGAAGCAAAATGATTTTGCATGTCATACAGATCTGTGGTTGTAATAGCTAACTGGTGCATCCAAGAGTGAAGTATTATTCCTAAAGAACCTTTCTCTCTCCACTCCCCTACAAATAAATGTCTTATTCTTGTAGGGAAGACCCTGCATTTTCAGCCGTGAGAATACCACTACAATAAAATAAATATTTTAGAGCATTTGTCTTACCTGTTCGTTGAAAAGAGAAAATGGAGTTGTGGCAGGTCCATGCCCCTTCCAGAATATCACCCCGGGTTGTGCTCTTGTCACAAAGATGGCCAATCTACAAGAAAGTAAAGGTTTTAGTTCAGTAGATGGCCATCTTCCAAGTAGAATATGTCTGTAGTAGGAGTTGAAGATGTAATTTCCAGCCCAGGTTGATATAACTGTGCTAGTTCATATTAAGTTAACATGCTAAAAATAGCAAGGTAGTAGCTCCAAAAGGTTAGCTGCACCAAATACAATTGTGTCTGAAATGGGTATGCACCTGAGGTGGCTAGCCTGTCCTGGCGCACACATCACTTTTTTTGTTTTTAGCATGCTATCTCAATCAGAATTAACATGGGTATATCTACTGGAGTTGAAATGTACACAGCCAGTTCCACTGAGGACATAGTACTGAGAAAGTGTTACATTTGTGTGTGCTGATGTGGGAGGGAAGGGGGAAGGGAGGAGGTGGTATTATGTTTATTGTTTTTATTTTATTTTTTAATATATTTTTTATTCTCAGAACATAAGGTCAGCTTAAGGTATGCAACTCCAGCTACATAAATAATGTAGCTGGAGTCAATATACCTTAAGCCAAACTTGGCACCATCTTCACAGAATGATGGCCAACTGGAGCAAATGCTCCCGTCGGCTTCCCTTAGTCCTCACGACTGTGAGGAATATCAGTGCCAACTGGGGCTGCACTCAGCATTTAATTTAGTGGGTCTTTACTAGACCCACAAAATCAAATGGCAGAAGACCGATCTCTGGCATGGTAAGTATAGACATGGCCTAACTTCATGTTCCTCCAACACTATTGAAACCAGAGCTTGCTTGCTCCTAGCTGAAGCATGCAGAGCTCTGTTATACATCCTGCTTTCTGCACTATAATGTAACAGATGATTTGTACAGGTCTACTTTAGAACAACAGCACCTATTTTATACATATGGGACATAAAGTTGAGATCCTTACACCTGTGGCCAGTCAGAAATTGTGTCCTGAGGGTACTGAGATAAAGCCGATACTCAGTTATATTTTTACATAGAAATTTGTTTATTTCTCTTTATTATATCCCAAAGTTTAAATCCTCAAAGTGCTTGTAACAGGGCATCTGTACTTCATGAATGCTTCCAATTTGTTGCCTGTATACATTTTTTTAAAAGCCCAGGGTGATTGGGTTTTTGTTGTTTTTCGCAAACCTAGTACTCTAAGCCAGCAATGGTGTCATGGTCAAATTCCAATGTAGGTAATTCCTTTCAAATTTTCTAAATTTGCTCTTGGTCAGAAACTGAGGGCTGCTTGGCACCATAATAATAGTAATAATAACATTTATCCTGTAGTTTCAATTGGATACAGTATATATATATGAAACCTGGGAAGCGATTTAATTGATCTGGGATCTTTCCAGATAAATGGCTTAATATAAATGTGATGTACTCTCTGTTAGTAAGATACTGATTTTAACACTGGAGTTTTCAGGTGTTCATGTACCAGAAAGCCTTTTAATCAAAGATCATTGTCATTTGTTTAAACTTAGCTTTTTTCTGTTCATTTGTTTTTCTTTAACTCAATATGGCATAACATCTGTTAATGAGGTGTATTGCAATCAACTCATTAGCATTCTTTGCCTAAGCCTAATGATCATTCATTTCTTATTTTATTCAGACATCTCAGCCAAGCCCTGGTGGTCAGTCTACATGCAGCAGCGAACAGTCCCCAATCAGCAACTATTCCAACCATGGGATCGAGCTTAATCTGACCAGTGGAGGTAGTGTAGGAGACCTCAGTGTCATTGATGAAACCCCAATCATGGACTCTACCATTTCCACAGCAACCACAGCACTTGGCTTACAGGCCAGGAGGAACATGACAGGGACAAAATGGATGGAGCAAGTCAAATTAGAAAGGTTGAAACAAGTTAATGGAGTGCTTCCAAGACTGAATCCCATTCCACCTTCAAAAGCCCCAACCTTGCCACCTCTCATAGGAAATGGTAAGATATGCACAACTGGATTTATTTTACTGTCATTCTTTAAATTCATCCTCTTAAAAGTTGATGTTTCAGGCATTAGACATACTGTACAACTCAGTAGGAATTTACATCAGAGCTGTAAGACTGATCTCTAAACATATATATATATATATATATTTCCCATTTAAGTTGGAAATCGTACTACACTGGTAGAAGTTAGTAGTCCCACATTTTATATTCCTGGATATGAATATTGGTTCTCTGATTATCATGCTTGAAATACTTAGATTTCTGGTAACATTTTATTCTCAGCGTCATTTTAGCATTGTAACCTTCCAAGGTGGAGAAATTAAATACCATGTAATTTATGACATGGTATTCATTCAAGTGAGGTCTTTAAGCCTCAGATCCTATTTGCTTTCCATAGACAATATAGACTATATTTTTTATTGGCCTTTAACGTGGTCTCTATTTGTAAATGCACAAATATTTGCAGAAGTGGATAATCATGCTGGAAAAATCCACGTGTCATTTCTTACATGAATCAAAGGAAGGCATGCATGCTGGACTAAAAAATCCACAGCACTTTCTGTAAGACATGGGGTTTGACTTAGTGCCCTTGGGCAATATTTCTTCTCCCATTATTGGGCAAGCTAATGTGCACCAGTTGGCTGCTGATGTCCACCTTAGTAGTGATTGCTCCTCTGTGGTATTATATGTACATGGTTGTGAAGTGCATATGAGACAAGGAATGACATCAGCATGATAAAAGATCATGTTTATCATGTTGATTAAAAGGTGAACGGGGAAAGTTGTTTTGCAGTTCTAAATAACATGCTAATCTGTAAGAATTCTTTAAAAAATATCTGATTTCCAGTATGTATGTTTTCCCATTTGGATGTAGGTTTTCAAATGAATGCCAATTCAATTAGCAGGGGCGTAGCAAAGGGAAGGGTGGGGAAGGCAGTTGCCCCCAGATGCCATGCGAGGGTGAGCACAGGGAGAAAGGTGTGGGTTAGGGCAGCCACAGCCATGCAGCCACAGCCACGTCAGACCCGCTCGCACCATTCTTCCTGTGCTTGCCCTCGCATGGCGCCCGGGGGCAGCTGTCCCTCCCCCACTGTCCCTAGCTATGCCCCTGTCAAGTAGTTACTAAAATCCAAAAAGAATTCTGAAGAATATGGGCAACCTGTGTCCTCATTTGTTGTCAATTGGAGTAGCTCTATGTTAATCAATGGAATGACATCAATGGATGACAACTGAGGATGTGGTCTGATTACTCTTGTGATTGGGCTCATGTTGAAATATTGACCTTGAATCTAAGATCCCCTCTACAAGAATACTGTTTAGCCCTACTTCTGATTAGAAAACTGTCTTGATTTCTTAGGATCATATGGGTATTTACTTGAAACACCTTTTCCTTGTTTCAGAGCCTACGCGTTTCTACAGTTTGTCCTTATTCATATTCATTTATCTGTGAATTTTACCCCCAGGTATCCAGTCAAGCAGCAGTTGCAGTTTAGGAGGATCCATGACTATTCTACCCAACAGAAATGAAATTTCAAGTATGGACATTACAGTGTTAAACATGCTGAACAGGAGGGACAGTAACACCAGCACAATCAGTTCTGCCTACTTGAGTAGCCGTAGGTCCTCTGGAATTTCACCTTGCTTCTCCAGCCGGAGATCCAGTGATGCTTCCCAAGCTGAGGGAAGGCCTCAGAACATGAGTGTTGCTGACTCCTATGACCCCATCTCGACTGATGCCTCCAGGAGATCCAGTGAAGTGAGTCAGTGTGATGGCCTACCGAGCCTACTCAGCCTCACCCCAGCCCAGCAATACAGGCTGAAAGCTAAATATGCAGCAGCTACAGGTGGACCGCCACCCACTCCTTTGCCTAACATGGAGAGGATGAGCCTCAAAACAAGGATGGCACTTTTGGGTGACTGCAGGGAGTCTGGAACATCTCCTCTGCCCCCAGTAAATGCTCCTCGAAGATGTAGTGATGGTGGGACAAACAGTTATAGCAGGAGGCATTTTCTGTCTCATGATGTGCTGGGAAATGGGACAAGGAGAGCCAGTGATCCAGTAAGAATGGTCTCCGAGAACCTTTCTCTGCCTAGAGTCCAGCGATTCAACAGTCTTAATAGCTTTAACCCTCCTGTTTTGCCTCCATCTATGGAAAAGCGAAACTTTATTCTTCAGAACTATACCCGCTCTGATGGTGGCCCACTCCGTAATGTCTACTCCCCATGTCCTCCAAGTATCAGTGAGAATGTAACCATGGAGGCTGCTACCATGGAAGCAGATGGCAGTCTGAATGATGAGGATCTCCTGCCAGACGATGTGGTTCAGTATTTGAATTCCCAGAACCAGGGCATGTATGACCATTTGCCAAACAATGTCCTGGACACCAACAAAATGAATCATGGCTCAGTGATAGGGAACAACAACTTTGACCAGGCCCCTTTGCCACCCAGTCAACAGACCAGCTCTGAAGCAAACAAAAGCGACTTGCCAATTCAGTGGAATGAAGTAAGTTCAGGAAGTTCTGATTTGTCGCCTTTACGAATGAAATGTGGTGCACGCTCTGCAGTCCAACAAACTCGAGTCTTCGGACTATATAACAATATGATGGTCCAGCAGCAGAACCTGGAGAGAAACGGTGTGGCCCAACAAAATGGCTACCCACATCTTGGGGAAAACAACAATGCCTACTGTTTACAACAGAATATGATTATCAGCAACACTACCACCACTAACTCGTTCAACATGCAGGCAAATAAGGCACAGCCATATGGTGAAAGCATCACCAGGCAAGCAATGATTTCTGGGACAATGGACACTTCGTGTGGCATGGTGCTTCAAGGGCAGAAGCTGAGGAACAACAGCATGCTAATAAATAAGAACCAGCAAAACTTTGGCCAGCCCATGGTGCCAGGTGAGCAATCTGTCAGTATGGCTAATGGGATGCAGAGCAGAAATGCAATAGAAGAGGAATATCTGCAAAATCAACCAGTAGGGGAAAGCATCCATTATCAGGGAGTCAATCAAGCCAATCAAATGATGTTAGGGCAGGTTAGTCCTACCTCACAAATCAGCCTTTGTCAAGGGCCACAGAGTTGTCCACCAATGTCTCACAACATTGGAAACCAGCAATCAGGTTTGATGATGACAAAGGGTTACCAGCCATGTGCCAATTATGGAGGCAACAGACGGCAAAACTTGCTGAGGAACAGTTTGGCACAACAGCAAGGGTTTATAAGTGATGCAAACCACACGTACAGGGTAAATGGCATTAAGATGGAGATGCAAGGTCAATCACAACAATTTTGCTCTAATATGCAGAATTACTCTGGTCAGTTATATGACCAATCCATGGGCTTTAGTCAGCAAGCTATGAAAACAGGCTCTTTCTCCATTTCGGAAGCTAACTGCCTGCTGCAGGGGACTGGTAATGAAAACTCGTCTGAGCTTCTTTCCCCAGGGGTTAACCAGGTGACAAGCACAGTTGACAGCATTGACAGCAACAGCCTGGAAGGTGTGCAAATTGATTTCGATGCTATCATCGATGATGGGGACCATGCCAGCTTAATTTCAGGAGCCCTGAGTCCGAGTATCATTCAGAATCTCTCACACAATTCTTCACGCCTCACCACTCCCCGAGCGTCTCTTACATTCCCGGCTATGCCTGTGAGCACAACAAACATGGCTATTGGGGACATGAGTTCTTTGTTGACTTCACTTGCAGAAGAAAGCAAGTTTCTTGCTGTTATGCAATAGACATGGGGGGAAAAAAACTTAGGAGATAATCCATAAAAAGTGACTGTTTTTTTAGTTCTGTATGTATTTTAGCAATCTCATCTCACCTAAATGGGATGTGTTTCAAGTATATTCCTTTTATGGAATAAGGACTCCAAAAACCCTAAAGTATTCTAGGGAGAAACTGTCTTCCATTTCAGTTTTGAAACAGTATTGTTAGACCCACTCTTCTCTCTCTCTTTTTTAAATGTCTGTATACTTTTTTCTTTTTTTTTATTGTAAACCAATGTAAACGTGTGAGGTGCATGTTTTGTTTTGTTTTTTAAAGGTCTAATGAAATGACTTTGCAATTTTCTTTTACTCAAAGGAAACACAATCCTGTATGATTGTTGGCAGTGTTTTTATTTATGTAGGCACAAAACAAGCAGGCACGATATACAGAGTACATACAGTGAGTAAAGAGAGCATCCATGAGTGCATTGCTGTAAGATAGACAAAATCCTCAAACAAACCTACTCATACTGCTCCCTGATCATGTTCTCGAAACTGTGTGGCAAAGAATATCTGGGGCTTGTGCAAATAAGAAATGCAAAAGCATCAAACTTTTTTGTCACAAACAAGTATATGTGTATGATACACACCCACACTTATATGCGCACAGAGACCTTGAATTGCATGGGGAGGGGGAGGGTAAAATTATCTTTGTGAAAACAATTCACATATGTAGCAGAATCTGGTATACATTTTTTCAGACATTATTCAATGAGAGGAGAACAAAAATAAATGGTGTTTGGTAATTGAGTATTTTTCATACTCTTCATCAAATACAGTATTAATTATTGTAATAAAATGGTACACATTGTTACACCTTGTTCTGCACTCTTGAAACTAGTGGAAGTTTGGGCATATGCTTTAGTGAGTGCAGAAACAGGCTCTAAGGTCCAGATGTTCAAAGGTTTTTGAGTGCGTAACTCCCATTGATTTTATTGAGAGTTAGGTGCCTAAATACTTTTGAGGATCTGGACCTAAATCCATAAGGTAGCCCAATGTCATATTCATTCAGTTAAATAATTGTACCACTGAGATTTAAAATCAGCTACTCTTTATCCACAGAGCAATTGCTTCTTCATAGTTATTTAGTATAAATCTTCCCTGTTCATGATACATAAACGCCTATTGACATAGTAAAGAGTAATAACTTCATAACAAACACTATGTTAATCCATGGAAAAAAAGATCACAGATTGACATTGACCTAATGGGCCATATTGATTCCTGAGAATCACAATGGTGATCCTAATACATGCCCAGAGCACTATTTTTATACTTTTAACAATTTAAATCTAAACTTCTGATTTAAAAAAGGCTAACAAAGTGTCAACTAATGAGATGGCATTCTGGTATGAAGAGTCTTAACTAAAGCTAAAGATGCAAGATAAAGTCCTTGGCATCCACTTCCTCTCATTTTGATTCAGTTCACTGGACCATGTTCTGCTTTGTCAACCCTTGCCAGAACTGAACTTAATACCATTGTGATTTCAGTGAAGTTACCCCAGACTTAAACTGCTGTACAAGAGGCCAGAATTTGGCACTTTGTATTGTTAGTTATCACACTTTGTAACTTAGGGCCTATTTCTGCTCCCCCTAACACAGGCAAAGTTCTGATAGATGCAGGAGTCCTGAACACCTGAGGGTAAAATTAACACCTTTGCAGAAGACCTTCACAAGGTCTGTTCCCTACATAAGTTGCATGGAAACCCTCTTTTGAATACTTACAGGGATCTTAAATGAGGGCTAAAAGTTATCCCCTCCCTGTCTGTATGAATGAATCTCAGCCACAAAGAGTAGATTTGTTGAGGAAGCGTGTACTTAGATGGTAGTCACAACAGGAGCATGCTTCAAATTCTAGCATAGACAGAGCGTTACAAATAACATCGGCATGTGAGTTTCACATCCCTAAAACCTCCGTTATTGTTCTTATTCAGCAGAATTCATAGTAAAATGAAGCCCAGCTGATTTAGGTTTCTCGTAAATATATGCAAACAGAAGCTCTGTCCATAGAATACAACGGCTGCTCCATCAAGAGCCATACGAGTCCAGAGATGAAGTATGAAATGTAAGAGGGAGCTAGTACTGGGATTGTGTATGTGCTCATGACAGTCTGGGGCACTGTGTTTGTAAGTAGCTTACAGGTGAGATGTTTTGCAATGGAGAGCCAAAAAACAAGAAATATATATATGCCAGTAGGAATAAGGCCCTTCAGCAGTAGCCCTATATCTTTCCTAACCCAGATCCTATCTCCGTTGTCTCCTCATAGCTGTAACAAGCATTCCTTCCAGAGCTGACACTTGGGCATTAGCAGACTGAGCCATTGCTCAGGGCCATGAGCAACTCATGAGGCTCCCCTGCTTGTTTTTTATCATAAGCATGTGTCTGTTTTACTGTTGTAGGGAGAGGGGCCCAAAATATTCCTACACAGAGTCCCCAAGGAGCTATGCCTTCCATGCTCCTGTTCATTGGCTCTTCCTCCCTCTGCCATCTGCCTGCCTAGACTCTCCCTCCACTCCAGGCTGGTTCTCTTTCAAACCATATTGCTTGTAATCCCTGTGCAAGTCATCACCTATGTTGCTCCCCTGCCTAAGGAGGAAGCAGGTTGCCTGGGGATTGAAGGGAATATGGCTGGGGAAAGGAGCCTGCATGTCAAGTCATTTTTCTGCAGTGGATACACAGTGGAAGTCAAAACTTGTTGCTCCTGCTTTTCTGTGGCTGGATAATATCCCACATTCTTAGAAGAGTGGCTCTGGACGACCCTTTGAAAATAGTCTGTTTCCTAGCATTAAGTAGCTATAAAGTGGCAAGTTCTTTAAGGATTATTCGCAATTGTCCATAGCATTCAGTCAAAAGTACGTGGAGTACTATTAAATTACAACATTTACTGCTCCGGGTATCACCTTCACTTAGGTGCTAAGAAGATATCACAATACCTAATCAGAGTTCCCATCTCCTTGTATGATCCCTCCCATAGCAGGATCAATCAACTGAGACACTGAAACTAGTAATCCTCTATGTTAAAAAAGAGGGTGTTAAAAAAAATCCAAAGCATTCTTGGTGAGGAGAGTGTCCATGTTAGAACACACTTTCCTCCAGTGTTCTGATGGTCTTCAGGGCACCTTGTCTGATTTCCCTGAGAAGAGAGGGACTATTTAGGGCCACTGATCATGTTTTATATTTATTGGGGAGGGGTTCCATTCAGAAAAGGTTAGTAAATAATGAATTGCTGGTTCAAACATGTTACAGATATGAGCGGTATGTGTTATGGAAGCTCAGTAACCGATGGTACTACAGCTGCTGACAATACTAATGATGCCTCACTTGTAAATAGTGCTTTTCACAGTAGGGCTCAAAGCACTTTACAAAGGATGTCAATATCATTATCCCCATTTTACAGAGGAGGAAACTGAGACAGAAAATGCAAAAGTGACTTGGCCAAGGTCACCCAGCCAACCAATGGTCAAGGTGGGAAACAAAATCAGGATCTATCGAGTCCCAATGTCATAAACAAACAAGTGACTAATTATTAAGATATCTATTAAGCATTTATAGACTATTTATATATGGGAGCTTAATATAAAATCTTACTAGTGTTGGCACTGATGGCTTGGGGAACTCTCTTGGGGAGCCAGGTCTGCTAAAATTCTTGTTTAATTTTTGCTTTTAACCTTTAGATATAAAATAATCCACTATTAATTAGCATAATTGACAACTAGGTAAAAACAGAGTTCATAGATTTTTCCAGGAGAACAGCCCCTTAAATAATCTTGTGTGTTTTCCTGTATATCACAGGCCATTCATTTTTTCCCAGTTACCCCTTGCGTGGACCCAGGAACTTGTGTTTGTGTTTAGCGAAAGCATAGCTCTCAGAAAGCGCTGTTGATTTGATGTCATCAAGAGATGGAGGATCCATCATTTCCCTTGGTAGTTTGTTCCACTGGTTAAGCACACTTCTGTTTAAAATGCTGTGCCTAATTTGTCGCTCTTTGGTCTTATGTTTTTCTTTGCTAGTTTAAAGCGCTCTGTAGAATCCAGTAGTTTCTCCCAACAAAGGTACTTCCACACTGTATTTAAGATACCTCTCACTCTTCTTTTGAGAAGCTGAATGGCTTGAGCTCATTAAGTTTGTCACTATGCAGCGTTTTCTCCAGCCCTCAAATATTTTTTCTCTCTTTTCTGCACTCTCACAGTTTTTCAACAGCCTTGTTAAATGGTGGGCAGCAGAACTATTACATAATATTTTAGTGTAGATCTCATCAGTGTCAAATACATAGGGAAAATAATCACACTTCTGCACTTCTACTCCTTTGCTTAAACAGCCAAGAATCACATTAGCCCTTTTTACCACACCAGTTAGTATTTCAAGGAAAGTTGGCTACCAGACTCCACACACTCTCCACCCCCAATAACTATACCAAGGTAAATGTCGTTTTTAATGGGAGCCTGTCACTCAGAATAGCAATAGAATCACTATCATTCTAAAAACTGGTGTGTTTCTTCTCTCCCGCCTGACCTTAAGTATAGCTTTTTGGTCCCTTCAGGTTCCATCTTGTTTGTCCTTAAGAGCATTGCTTTCATTTGACATGCATGATTTACTTTTGTCAAAATGGAAAACCTGCTTATGCCCTTCTGTATTTTCAATTGCATCCATCAGGTACACTATGACAGGTACTTTTGGGGGCAGCGAAGGAGAAGTCCAGAGTGGGTTTGATATTAAGCACTGTGGATATGGATATCCCAACAGCAGTATAGAATTTTAACCCTCTCCCTGGCAAACTCCTAAAACGGTACTTGCATTTAAGGTTGGCTTTGTTTCTTTCATTTTTAAGATGAAATTGGCAGAATAATGCCCATGTTACACTACAGCTTGTCCTATTAAACAACAGTGTTTCTATTCTCATGATGTATGTGCCTTAGTTTGTGTTGATCCTGTAAAAAGAGAGGGACCAAGAACTATTGCCAAATGTTAGCTACAAGGCTGTGCTTGCCATTCAGCTAATAGCACGTACCACTGTTAATAGTGTCTGAAATGTCTTGTAAACCTCTGGTATTCATGTGTTATTGTTCTTGAATTGATAGAATGTCTTAAAATTTACCGTTGTCACTCCTGCAGATGTGTAAGATAAAAGTGTTCATTTTCACCTTTTTTTTAGATTTTTTTTTATAAAATTGTAATCTTTTTTAAAATGTGTAAATACATTTACCTACAGTAGGAATAGTATGCAGATGTTATAGGCCTTAGTGGTCTTCATTTGATAAACCTACAGTAATGATCTGTTATTTCCCGAGCCTTAGATCAATCGGAAGGGTCTGTAGCACTGTGTACATATAAACTGTACTTTTGCTCTCAGAACCATAGCTCTTTTGTAACAAAGAAAAAATGTTTCTTACAATGTCAATAAAAACAAAACCTTTGTACTGAAGTTCTTAGCCTGCTGCTTTTTAAAAATGTCTCTGTAGTGGAGCACAGGGAGGGAGTCTGTATGTGTAAATACTTACCAGCTCTCTGCTTTACGTTGATCTTCTTCCAGGTGTAATTTCTGATCATGTATCCGTTAGCAGGTTTTTCTGATGCATGTTTCCCTTTATATTAAAATGATGGGCTGGGTTACTCCAAAGAAAGCCTAGTGGATAGAACTATCTTATCTACATTTTAAAACACTCACACAGGGATTGCCCTCTCTCACAACACAAGAAACGGACTAGTCGATGAAATTGAACAGGGAACAAATTTAAAATAGCTAAAAGAAAAGGCTTTTAATTCATAGCATAAAAGTGACCCGTGGAAACCACCATCACAAGATAGCATCAATAGCAGTCAAATAATGGTGAGAAATTTAGTAGCAACATTAGCGAGGATAATAAAAATATTAATTTATATAATGATAGTGCTTAGATGCCTCAATCAGATCAAAAAGTAGGACAAACAGGGTTGCATTCTGATATCCTTTGTTGATTAGCACTTTATTCCTCAAGTAGACTTATTTGAGGGATAAACCACCTGCTTATTAAGGAGAAGTGGGGGTAGAGGTGGGATTAGGAAGAGATGTCTCCTTAGGGAAGGTTATTTCATAAATGTTAACTGTGGATTTTTATTTTGGCACCCTCCTCTGAAGCATCTGTTATGACCATTACATGGACCATTGTTGTTATCCATCTTGGCAATTTCTATGGTTGGCTCCCATACATACAGTGCTGCATTAATTTCATAAAAGGAATGTAAATTCTCCAGGGAAGGGGTCATCTCTTTGTTATATGTTTGCAAAGTTGCCTTGCACAATTGGGGCCTGGTCTCTAGGCACTATTTCAACACAAGTAATAAATAACAACAGCTGCTAATATCATCTGCTACTAAACAGCTTGGGCCTAGCTCTCCACTATTGCATTAGTGAAGGCTACAGAATCATGCTTAGGGCTGCTTTCTCTTTAACCCACTGATTCTTTCATTATTTAGCCACAGTGGAAAAAGGCTAGAGAGAAGCAATGATTCTGTCGCCTGGCAGTTAGCCAGGGTGGGAGGCTGAGGATCCAGTCCCCTAGCTCCAAGTAGTATTTTTAACTATTAATCCACAGTGAAACAGTTTCAGCAGGTGTAAGTGATCTCCCATCGCTCTGTGGCTCTCACCTGAAAGGTGATAAATCCCAGTTCAGTCCCTTTGCTCCCTCAGATAGAGGAGGGACTTGAACTGGTGAGTACCCTAATTACTGGGCTGAGAGGTATGAGGAGTCATCCACATCTTCCTCCTCTGCCTGTTAAAAACTCTTTAGGTGCCTAGCACAATGTAGCTTACTGATTCTGAGAAGATATGTAGGGCATGTCTACACTACGGGTATGTCTACACTGCAGAGTTTTTTCGGAAAAAGGGCCACACTGCAATCACGTTCTTTCGACAAAAAGTTGAAAGCAAAAGGGTTTTTCCGACAGTGATAAATCTCTTTCTACGAGGAAGAATGCCTTTTCCGAAAGACCTCTTTCGGAAAAAGGCGTGTGTGAATGAGGAAGAGGGTTTTCTTTTGATAGAAGAGGCCTCGAGGTGCCCTGGTGGCCATTCCATCCAAAGTAATCACAGATCTATAGTTCCTGTTTCCTGGCACCTTTTAAAGCTGCAGGCACCCTGGACATGCCTTGTGGCAGGAAGCCAGCCCTGAAGCAGCAGCAGAGCACACAGCTCTTCCTGCCACCCACACTGGGAGCTATGGCCAAGCCACAAGCTCCCTAACACCCTCCTGGCCCTCACAGAGATCACAACCAGAGCTCCCAGGACCCACCAAGGGGTACCAAGCGGCGGGAACCCTCATGGTCCGGTGGGGAGATCCTGTCCCTCCTTGAGCTGTGGGGGGAGGAGGAGACCCTACAAGATATGTGCTCCAGACTGCGCCGACATATATGGGCACATGGCCGAGACCCTGGTGGAGTGGGGACACTCACCCCAGACCTTAAAACAGGTCCGGAGTAAAGTGAAGGGGCTTTGCCAGGGCTATGCGAGGGCCAGGGAGCGCAGCTCATGCTCCGGGGCAGGACCTCACTCCTGCCCATACTATGAAAAGCTGCACCAGATCCTGGGGGGTGGGGAAACCATTTCCCCACTCATGGTAGTCATCTTCAGACTTGAGACGCCCGTCGTCGCCTGGGCGGATGTCACGGAGGAGGAGGAGGTACAGCAGGGGCAGGAGGAGGAGGAGAACACAGCGAGTACAGTCATGCTGACCCTGGAGCCAATACCCCTAAGCCTGGACTTGTATCAGGCATCATCTGAGGCTGGGGAAGGATTATCAGGTGAGTGCTCTGTTTTACTGAGTGGGGAAGGCGGGCACAGACGGGATAGGGTGCGATTGTCACTCTGCCTACTCGGGCTGGACGTTGTGCTGCAACCCGTGCATGTGAAATCACATGCAGCATCATTGTGCACCATGTGGCCTCAGGAGACAGCCCCTGAGCACGCCAGGGATCCAGCTCCCATGCTCAGAGGAGGCCACACACACACACACGGCTGGCCCTGGAGGGGGGGGCACCCTCCCACCACCTGCCATGGCCGGAAGCAAGGTGGGCACAAGGGCACACGCATGACCCCAGACACACCAAGGAGTGCTGCACACAGCACAGAGGCATACCTGCCCACGCGAGGCACCACACGCTCCCGAGGACAGCACTACCAGGCGCAGGTGTGGGTACGGGCCCCAGGGACGGCCAGGCTGCTCCAGGCCCTCTCCTGCCCTTGGGATCCCACTGTGGCTGGACACTTCCCTTGCCTGCTTGTCCATGGGGGTCGGAGCTCCTGTGAGGCAGGGCCTGCTGTGCAGGCCACACGTGGCCTTGCTTCCAGGATATCCCCGTCCTTTGCCCCGAGAACTGTTGGTCGCTGTTCACAGAGAAGGGTACGGCCTCAGGGACAGTGTCTGCATGGACGACTGACTGCCTCTACCTCTTTATTCTCCACAGCTGAACCAGCCGTGACTGTGGGGCGAGCTACGCCACCCGATCCTGGGGGACCCAAAAGTGCTCCAGGGTCCAGGAAGAACTGATAAGGCAGCATGTGGGCATGCAGCAGAGCCTGGCGCAGCAGGTCCAGGAGGACGCAGAAGGGTGGACCCACATGTGGGACCAGCTCATGTAGCAGGGCAACAACATGTGTGCCATCATGCACAAAATGATGCACAGCCAGCTGCTGTCCCTGCTCCTGCCTTCCACCCTCCTGCCCCCCCCACTATGCCCATTCCCCCCCTCTGCCCCCCAAGCCAT